GCCCTTGCGCCTAATGCTCTGAAGCATGGATGTTGCAGGTTCGATTCTTAGATTTATTCTTTGATTAGCAAAACGCAATCTGTAGGCTTCTATGTTGGCTCTATATAGGTAAGTTTTTGTCAAATTGAACAACAGGAATTTCATATTATAAAAAAAATATAATGGGAAAGCATTAACGGATAAAGCGAAAATCGAGCATTTGGTGGAAGCCTTCGGCCATGGATTTTTCTCTCTTTCTAGTGTTTTTTAATTCATGCTAGCTGTTGACTGTTTGATTTGATGATGATCTGTTTGCTTCTCACTTTTACCTTCTGTCCCGCAGTGAACTGATCGTTAAGGCATGGTTCCCAGCAGATCACCGAAGTCAAGCATCACTGGTGCTGTCAGTGTGCGGGTGGGTGACCACTTGGATCAGTCTGCGTAGGGACCGAGGGTGTCCGGCATTGGTCCTCGTTAAACTGTTCTACCGTAAAGTGCTCGACTTCGCATGCAGGTCGTCGGGCTACCAAAATGGGGGTGCCATCCCCTCTGCAGAAGATCAAAATTGTGATGTCATGTCTTCGGATTATCCTCAGGGATGTTACCCAGATCGTCGCCAATAGCCCATTGTGCAGCTCTAGTGCGACGTAAATGAACTGCAACAACAACCACTTTTACCTTCTGTGCTTGAAATAGGCAGGTTCTTCATTTACATCGCACTACAGCTGCGCACAGGGCTATTGGCGATGGTCATCCCTGAAAATGATCCGAAGACATGCCATTGCGGTCATATCCTCTGCAGAGGGGATGGCTCCCCTGCTTTGGTAGCCCAATGTCCTGTGCAGGAAGTTCAGCACTCTAAGAGAGAACAGTTTAATGAGGACCGATACCGCGCACCCTCGGTCCCTACGCAGGCTGATCAAAGTAGTCACCGTCACCACTCACTTACTGACCGCAGCCAGTGATTCTTATGCTTGACTTCGGTGCTCTAGTGGGAACCGCGTCTTTATGATCAGTCCACTGCGAGACCTGTGTCTTGAGAGCAGATGAAAATGAGTTGATTGGCAGCAATTATAAATTTATTAATCTACAATAAATTATAAATTTTGAGCGAAATTTTTCAAATAGTTTCTTAAGGCTTGAGCAATTAAAACTATCATCTTTTCAGAATTAATTCAAAAACTATTCAACCAATTACAAATTTTATTTTGGTAACTAAAATTGAATAATTTGAAATTATATACAAATTAGCATGTTTTAAAAATTAAAACTTTTCCGACCATTGTATAAAAAACTATTAAAAATTACTTTGTACGTGAAATTATATTTAGAGAAACGAGTTTTACAACTATTGGTTGAAGTTTTTCCATTCACTTATAGTCTTCAAGTTAAGACAACACATGCAATAAAAAAAAAAAAGAATTTAACAATAAATGGATTTAGTTTTCGATTGCTCTCATGGCTTAATAATAAGGATGTGGTCACACCAACCACCAATTTTTCTACATAGTACAAAGAAAGTACATTGTCTTTTATTTCCCAACCTTATTAATAGTTAGCAATTTAGGTCAACCTTTTGAACCATAAAGATTGGTATTTAGTAATTAAAAATCCCATCATTAGAGCAAAAGTAATTAAAGGTGATGTCTTTTATCTAATTCCCTGTACCCCTTATAATTTTTTGGTCAAAAATATGAATTCATTAAAAAACTGGTATATTTGTTAAAAGGATGAAGTTTTTTAAAATTCTAAAAAACTTCATCAAACTTTCAATCTAAAGAAAAACTTTCAAATTCTTATTTTTAATCAATACATATGAAATGTTCCTTCACTGGGTAGTGTTCCTTCACTGGTTGGTTTACCCTATATTGTCTATATATATGTACATATATACCATCAGATTACAAACAGGGACAAAAACCTTTTTGGAAAGAAAAATAATAATTAAAATGTTTTTAAATATTAGAATTTGAAAAAAAATTTAAAAAGCTGGAAAATTGGATAAAATTTGTTAAATTACAAAGTATGCAAAAAAAAGTGTAAATAGAGGATAGTGGGATGTATTTTATGGGGCGTTCTGACTGAAGTATGGAACCACCTGGATTGGCCCTAAACCTTTTATAATTAATAAAACCTTAGATCTTTTATAATTAATAAAAGGTCGAATTTTAATTTTTACTTTTAAATTTCAATGATTTTTTACAGAAATTATTAAAATTAATTGAAAAATTCTTTATTAAATCTTAGATTTTTAAACACGGATTTACCCGAATTGGATTCGAACATAATAAAAATATCTACTGATAACAAACATTTTCTTGTGTAAATAACTTCATAAAAAATTATAACACAATTAACTCAATGATTTTACATATAAATTAATTATGCTAGTTGGATATCCATTGATTTTTTTAAATCAAATTTCAGAAGAGTTCATTGATTTGTTTTTTGGATAAATTAACATTACTACAAATTCTTTAAATTCTATTTATTTGTTAAAAAATGGTATTTAAAATAATGTTTTTTATAAACATTGGAGTTCTATGAAGTTAATTTACTTATATTTAATTTAAAATCACTTCTCTTATTATGTAAGTCTTATTATATAAGTAATGCAGAAATTTTCTTCTTTTTCGATACTTAAACCCGAACAATTAAAATTAATATTATCGTCATGATTAATAATCAAGATTTATTCCTCGGGATAAATATTATTTAACAAAATTGTGCAATTTTGAAAATTGAAGATAATTTATTAATAAGTAAATCTGAAAACAAATTTAATATTACGAGTATAATTTTTTTCATAAAAGTGTCAAAATAAGTTAACTAGAAGTGATGAGAAATTAGATCCTTGTGCTATTCCATATATTTGAAGAAAAAAAAATTTGTTCTGTAGAAGCATATAGGTTTCGTTTTAGTTTTTTATTTTATCTTTAAGTTAAGGCGTATACGAACAAACTGAATCTTATCAATATTTTGACGACTGTAAGTTTATTTAAAACAAAGTGAACTCAAGCACAAGGCTTATTGAAGCTCCTCCTTCAAAGTTGGATTTTAAAACAGGTTTGTTCAAATCAACAAAAGGAAATTTTATACCCCTAATTTGTTTCAGGGATAAAGTGCTTTTTAATTGTTTTATTTTTATGAAATTTTTCTTACTTCAAACTCAAGATAAATTTGGAGATATAAGAAGATAAATTTTTATAAAAAAACTGAGTTTTTCGAAAATATGAAAATGTTTATTGCTTGGAAGCTGACTTTATTAAAATCGAAAAATTTAAACTATTGAAAGAGTGAGAGAAATACGAGCATTATGTATTACGAGTTAATCTTACTTCCTCCCCTCCCCCCCCACACTGCTTAAACCAGTGGTTCCTGAACTTTTCTTTCTCATAGACCCCTTGCCATGTCTTTCGGTTTCGGGTAGACCCTCTGCTTACCTGATATTGATTTTTTGTAAATTCATCAATTTCAAATGTGTTTTTGACAGCTGGTGTAGTGCTATTCACTGTGAAAGATTTTAATTTCTAACTGTAGTGAAGTGTAGTGTGAAAAACTTACAAAGAAGTGTAAAAAAACACATTACAGTAGGAAAGTACACAGAAAAAAAACAGTACACAACAGTAAACTTACAGTAGAAAAAAACACACGTTAATTTTATACTTTTATTAATTAAATGCAAACTAATTTAATCCAATTAATATTTTAATGGAATAAAATAGTGCATATAAAACCCGTACTCCGCTACTATAATAATTGTTGAAATAAGTTTGTATGAAAAACCGTAGTAGTGTATTGTCGATCTGTTTATCACGTTTTCACGTAAAAACTAAGCAACAAATCTCCATGCCCTTGTGAGCAGATGAAATTGGAGGTCTAGCTAGCTAAAGAGTTGACACAGGCTTGCCTACAATTTACCCCAGAAAAACACTTTTTTGTTACAAAATAAAATCTTACACGCAGAGAAAATAAAAATGTACGCGGTTGGAGCTGCAGACAACTGCTAGTTTATAATAATTCAGTTTTATATATCAAAAAATAATCCTAATAACTTAAAGTTTAATAGAATTTTTACTTCATAGCTACTTTTATAAATTATGTAGAATGTAGGTAGATATGTCTTTATATTGTGAGGTAGATATGTCAGTAAATAAGTACTGGAAGTGTATGCTGATTATTCCATTCATGAAATGTCGAAATTAAAAGTCACGACCTGCTTATATGAGATCCACTATGGTTGACCCCCATTTTTAATTCATGGACCCCCAATTTTTTTTCCACTTGACATGAACCCCTTGCAGGCTGTTGTCGACCCCTGCGGGTCAATATAGACCACTTTAGGAATCACTGGCTTAAACCATCTACACGATTTTCATTTTGCTCTTACATACAAACAATTCCTGAAAAAAAATCGTCTCAAATGTGTCTCAAATGTGTTTTTTTCTAACATTACTTTAGAGAAAAATAAGTTTGAGAAATATTTATATTGATACTTTTGCTTTTAAAGGGGTCTTCATTAAAGTAATTTTTGCTAAAATGATAAGTCATATTCACTGTTTTCATTAAAATTTTAACTGCATATTAGTAGGAGAGAATATTGTAAGGTACTGTTCATTTTTTAATGCAACAGTACTAATACAACAAAACTTTTTCCACGATTTGCTTTGAAACTATTAAGAGGTGATCAGTAATTCAGAGATGATTGTGCTCTGGATTTTTCGCTAACCGCGATCCGGAAATCCAAGGTTCAGAAGTTTCAAGAAATCATCGATCACATTTATGTATAAAAATTCTTGTATATTTTAATTAAAAATATTATAACTAGAATTTATACTTGGCATCTCTTTTATTTGAAAATATTTTTTCTGGTGGAATGATAAATGTGATTAGATATAAAAGTATACTTATACATAATTATTTATTTAAATTTAAATAAAATGGAAAGAAAGAAGTTTTCCCGGCATTATTTTATTACAATTCGCGAAGTCAAAAATATTACTGATACAATAATCAGACACTTTGAGACTTTAATAAAAAAATTTGTTTATTATTTTAATGAATTCTTAGATTGCGTTACATTTTCAACATTTCCCGCGACCTTGTCATCAGTATATCAAATAAAATAACATTTAAATACAGAAAAAAAGAATCGTAAAAGTTCTTAATTTAGAACTAAAGTCTATAGCATCTTAAAACGATATGAATGTGAGATTTATAAAAAAAGTACAAATGAATTGAAGTGAAATGAATAAACAAATGACAATGAGTGGAATGAATGAATCAGTATGGAGCTTCTCTGATCTCTCTTCCGTTCATAGGTTGAACAACTCTGCAATTATCTTCGACTTTTTTGAAGACTGGATATCCATCGTCGCAGATCTCTGCAGAAGACGAATTCATAAACCTCAAAATTTCAAGCTGAAATGAAAATCAATCATTGTAGCTCACATTTTGAGACCAAAAATCACGTACAGTGAAAGTCTTTTATAACGACAATTCATAATAAGAGGTGGAACTGTAGTTATAAGCAAATACATATATTTGAGCAGCGATGGCTCAAGGGATAGAGCGTTCGCCTTCCAATGAGGCGAACCAAGTTCGAATCCCAGTCGATACGAATTCCGCATCCGGCTTGTGCCGACCACAGAGTTGACGTTAAATATCCCCAAAGGTAGACGGATCATGAGTTAGAGTCCCCTTGCCATCAGGCTAACCGTGAGAGGTTCTCGTGGTCTTCCTCTCCGTGTAACGCAAATGCTGGTTAGCTCCATCAAATAGTCCTCCACGAAGGGAAATTTCCCCCAATACTCGACCCAGGAGTTCCCTTGTCTTCTGGATTGGGTTCAAAGTTACAAGGCTACGGAATTGAACATTAGTAGTTCTAAACCCATAAAATTGGGTCGGCTGTTCAACGACGGTTGTAAAATAAAATAAAATATATATATTTAATGCTATTATAGCAATTAAATGCCTAAAAAAATGCAATAGACACATCTAACTTTTTAATTCTGATCAAATATCAGATGTAGGTCACCCTAGTTTTTTCAGGGTTGATATTGGCCAAAAAACAAAAAAGCTGAATTTTCACGCGAGTAAATCTTAAGCGATTTCTAGCAAAAATATCAGTAACATATTCTTATCCAGTTTCGCTGATGTTGCAATGCCTATGTATAGCAATAATCGTCGATAAAAGAACTGCCACATTTATAGTAAATAATTTAAGAAAAAAAACTTATTTTTTACAAGAATTGCAATCTCGTGAATATAAATCACGTGAATAAAACTCTATATTGGATTTCAAAAATGTGAAAATACAAATCATGACGCGTAATTTCCAGATCTCGCAAATACGAATTACGATGCGTGATTTCTAAATGGCGTGAATACGAATCCAAAGCTTAATTTTTAAACCACGTGTAAATACGAAAATAGATGTTGGATATTACAACCGCAAAAACGAATCACGACATTGGATAAACTCGCGTGAATACGAATCGTTACATAGAATTTTAAAAACGCCTCAATACAAATCGCGATATTGGATTTTTAAATCTCGTAAATACGAATTGCAATGAACGATATTTAAATCGCATGAATAAGAATCGCGACCATTAACTTTTAAATCAGGTAAATAAGAAAATCGACGTCTGGTTTACGAAAATACGAGATATCTAGCGGACGGGTAAAAATGAGAAATATCTTATTTTCTGCTCGTAAAAGCTAATAGCTAAAATAAGTAGATATGCTGAAGGGCTGGCAGCTACGTAGTTTGAATTTTCTATATATCTTTCGATATATTATATCTACATATCAAATCGGAAGTAAATATAACTATTTTATTTCAACGGTGAAATTTTCAGAAAAAGTGGAATATTTATAAAAAAAAAACTTTTAGAGAATTGGAGTTTTTGATGAAAAGGCTGAATTTCGAGAGACAAAAGCGAAAAAGGCGGAAATCCGTTAAAAAGCGGAAAAATCTCATCCCTGTTTCTACCGATAGTAGACTAAACTACAAACCTTACAATTTTATGAAAGGCAGAAATATCTACGACAGATAAAACAGGAAACAATCCATTTTATTTATTCACAAACTTTCCAATTTTGTATAACTTATCTCTGTCTTGTAAAAGGGTCATAATATAATTTTCACATACCTTCAATCACTTTTTGAAGCTTAGAAATATTTGCGTTTTTGCAACTACATTCAAAACATTTCATTTATGTCTTGAAAATTTTCATAAACTTTTCCAGTTCCAATTGAAAAGATTTTTTTGTCATCGCAATTTTTTAAATTGTTTTTGAAGAATCACAATTTAGTCTTGTTTGAATAAATAAAATACGTCTTATAGTTAAAGGATTAAGTCTTGAAGGAGGTCAGTAACACTCCTTAACGTTTCGAACACTGGGAAAACAATTGAGTTCTTGTCCTGTAATGTAATTAAAAACATCAGTTTGCCATATTTTAAGACCCAAAAATATTCACCATCGAAGCTTCCTAAACAATTAGGAATGTGAGAAAATTATTTCTTTGTTATTCTTTTTTTTAAAAATTGCTTCTAGGCCGTGGTAGTCAAGTGGTTAGATAATTGAACTCCGGTTCGGAGGAACCGAGGTTCAATCCTCCACTCCACTAAAACCCTCCGAGAGCATGCAATATACGAACTCGTCAAATCTGTGGAATCGAAAGTTCTATGGTCGGTCGCATAGCTGTAGCAGGCGTACAGGGATAAGAAGAAAATTTCCTTCCCCTTCAGATCTGTGCCAAATTTGAGGAATTGGCCTACAGAATAAATGGTGCTGTCTTCTATCAGTGGGATTCTGAGCCAAAACGTACTTTTACCCTTGCGGTGTTCTCTAGTCAAATGAAAGGCGCACCTTCCTGCCTTAATTCAAAAGGCCGATGGCTGGGGAGTTTGGCTTTTCCAAGATTCATTAGACACAAAAACATATTTGCATTGAAGAATCACGTTCTTCGGGATTTGAAGGTAACGCTCAAAGCCAGATCATGGGTTAGAGTCCGCTTGCCCATAGGCTAAGCGTAGGAGGTTCGCGTGGTCTTCCTCTCCATGTAACGCAAATGCGGGTTAGCTCCATCAAACTAGTAGAACTAGGTCGGCTGTTCAACGACAGTTATAAACCCCAGCATAGCAACAAAACACTTTACTAATTAATTTAGTTTCCAGAATCTCTTTAATTTCTCAAAATTTCTTTAAATTAATTTAATGAACTCTTATCCCATTTTTTTTTAAATATGCCCTGTTGGTTTTAAATTCTAGAGTATTAGTTTCCTCGATGATATAAATTTGTTAAAAATGTTAGAAAACTGAAAAATTGAAAACGTTCCAAGCGAAATTTACTTGTTTCTCAGAAATCTCAATGGGTTTTTTAAAAACAATCCAAGTGACTGACTCGCTGTAAGGTGGTGTCGTCAATGATCCTTCGTAAGTCCAGTACTCTAGGTCATCTAGAAAAGAGAGAAAAAATACTCTCTTTTATTGTTTTAATTACAAATACAAATAACAACTGACAGCAAATGAAAATAAACAAGAATTAATCTTTCAGTACATTTGAAGATTTAAGGATATTTGGTATAGCTTTTATATTATCAAGCGACATTTTAAGTTTTAATTTAACATGCGTTAGTAAATTTATGTTAGACTGAAAAAAAAAATAACAGCAAAGAAGTAGTTTATTTAATGGTTATGCAATCATTGCTATGAATGATTACTGATATAGTGAATGAATATAGGAAGACAAAAATTCAATAAGGGAGAAAGCGACTCAATGAATTAGTATAACAGTCAATTATAGAGAGAAATCAAAAATTAGTCCCTTTTCCGTTTAAATTCGCTTAAATGCAATAAAAGTTTTGATTTTGTCATTGACAGCCTTTACTATGCAAGTGCAGAAATGATCAAGTGAGGAAAATTTTTTTTTCTCCACGGGCAAACAACCTAGTACAAGTGCCATTCGTGGAAACAGCAAGAAAGTAATAGAAAATTCATCAAAAAATTCAAAATTGAAATTTTTATTCATTTGGCATTTTTGTATTATAAACTACATATTGAAAATTTTTTTTTCCACATTTTTTTTATAAGTTTATTAAATTTCTTTAAGCGTTGATAGCATTAGCAATAGAAAGCAAATAGCTACCAAGCTATTTTTCTCGAATCCGATCGAGAAGCACTTATATTTTTTCATGGCAAAATTCAAAACATAACGTAAATTTCAAGAAATTTTAATTGAAATACGTTTTTTTGATGAAAATTTGATTCATTAAGAGTAAACTAAAATTACTGCAATAAACGCAATGGTTGACGAACTAATTTAGCCAATCGAAAGTTAGATAAAATATGATTTTTTTCGCGGATAAAATACGTTTTAAGAGATTATTATTATTTTTTAATAATTTAAGCGTTATGTAACTTAAATCTTGATCTGATATAAAAGACAATAAGTGAAAAATATACATACATAATTATTAAAAATAAAGTCTTAAAATATTTTTTGAATTCCTCAAATATAAGCTTAGTAAAAATAAGATTTTTTTAACCTGTTCACAAAAAGTGGTCTATATAAGAAAAATGATTGCATGATAAAAGTTGTCGCACACATTTGCTTATACAAAGCAAATATTTCTTTTTGTTAACTCATTGCCTTTAAAAACAATCACTCTTCCTTGAATTCTGATGAAAATTTTAATATTTATGTAATTAATGTATTATGATGATTAAAACTAAGTTTAAGATTCAGAAACCATGGCTTTTAAAGCTGTTTTTCAAATTGAAATAAAAAAAAAACGGTAGTTTAAGTGCCTTACAGTTTTAACAAAATTATAATTATTAACTGTAATTTAAATATTTAAGAACCTTTTAACAATAAACTTTTTAAAATTTGATTGACTAAACAAATTTTTTACTGAATTTTTCTAACTAAATGAAAATTATCAAATGCAATAAATAATATTAAATTTTTGAAAATTTTTATGAGACCAAATAAAGCGGTGTTGAAGTGAGTTTTTAAATATAAAAAAAAATTAAATCACGAACTTGTTTAATTTTTGAATAGCTGTTTTTTTTATCATTTACATTTACATATAGACACATTTTTAGAATTAACGTAGATGTCGCACTCTAAAGATAGGCTAAACTTGAAGCTTGGCGTACTAATACTAGAAATGTACAGAACGTAAAAAAGTAAACACACCACCATGAATAACTTTCGAATTAATGATTGGATCTTCACATTATAGGAATCAATCTCAATGGTTCTAGAGGGTAGCCTCAATTGTGTTAATAATTAATGCAGACGATATTTTGAGTTTACTAAATCAGACACAAAAATGTACTTTTTCTGAAGAAACATACCTTTTTTTCGACGGATTCGAACTTCCGACCCCCTATATATTTTATTTTATAACCGTCGTTGAACAGCATACCCAATTTTATTGGTTTACGACTACTAATGTTCAAATCCGTAGCCTTGTAATTTTGAACCCAATCCAGAAGACAAGGGAACTCCTGGATCGAGTATTGGAAGAAATTTGCTTTCATGGAGGACTTTTTGATGATGCTAACCCGCATTTGTGTTACTCGCAGAGGAAGACCACGAGAACCTCCCACGGTTAGCTTTACGGCAAGGGGACTCTAAACCCAGACCCCCTATATATCTAAGAAATATGGTCCGAATAGTTTGGTCACAGTGAGCAGTTTAAAGTTCGAACCCTAATTGCTAGTTTTACTTTTAAGCATGTTTCACCGTATCACGTGAACTTTTTAAGCGAATTGAAAATTTTTTCACACATATATAATATTCATTTATCCAAAAATATTTTCATGCAAAAAATAACTTTTAGTAAATATTTATTATTGTATTTAATAATAGTTGAAAAAACTGAGTTGCATTCAATTTTTTTTTACTCCATTTTAAAGTAGGTAATTTTACATCGCAGAATACAAATTTTGAGCAAAATTGGTTGAATAGTTCCTGAGAAAGGGAATTTTAAGCAAGTCGTATGCTTAAAATTCAATTTCTCATGAGTTATTCAACCGATTTTACTCAAAATTTGTACTTCATCATATAAAATTACACTTTTTAAGACGATGTAAAATATTGTATACGTTAAGAATTCAAAATTTCTTCAGCTAGTATTAAATAAAATAATAAAAATTATAAATATCTGCTAAAAGTTATTTCTTGAAATTACCTTTGAATAATTGAATTTTATAATTGTATACAAAAATTGCCCAATTCACTTGAAAAGTTCTTGAGATATAGCAAACTATGCAAAGAGAAAAATTAACATCAAGTTGCCCTAATTTTGGACCGCTCTCCTAACCAAACTATAGGGACCATGTTTCCCAGATTGCGGTTACCTTCGTTTTGGAGATCGGAAATCCGAATACGCTGAAAAAAAAAGTATGTTTTTTTCAAAGAAAGTACGTTTTTGCGTCTGATTTCGTAACTTAAAATATCGACTGAAGTAATTAATTAGCATTCTTTGAAGTCACCCATTTGAAACAATTATTAGATCGCGAAAATCCGATCATTAGATCAAAATTTATTCAGGGTGATCCGTTTATTTTTTTGCTCCCTCTGCTATCTTTGTAAGCCTAGACTTGAACTAATAATCACGAATAATTACTTCATAGAAGTTAGAAGAAAAGCAAATTATTCGCAAAAAAAGAACAAAACGGTATCTTATGTGAAAAAAAGAGGTTTCTGAAAACAATCATAATTTAAAAGTGTGAAATATTCTACCTGGGAAGAAAGAGGCAGGATTTATAGCTTCAGTTATTGGACATTCATCTCCTTTATTGCGAATCTCATGCAGAATGTCTGTTATTTTTGACAGTTCTCTATTCTTTCTGCCAACCTGCGCAAAAAATCAAAATTTCAAATTTAGTTTTATGCACGCATTCATCAATTCAAATTAGAAATATAAACTTCTAAAACCATTCCACCTTTTTTATTTTATTTTTCGTTAACACTTGTCTGTAGCATCGTTCAAGTCATTTGCAGGTGTTTTCATCGTGTTAAATTGAGCTATTGCTCCTTTTCTTTTCTAACCACATAAAAAGAACTGTTGCGAATTAATCTAATATCGTTTTATACAAGTACATCCCATTTATTTCTAATGTTCTAAAATTCTTCGCCTTGTAAAATTTTCTCGGTTTCTAGGTTCGACCTAATTTTTCATTCGCCCCTATTATTAACAGGTTCTATTATTCGTCGTCATGCTCATTTAAAATATTTCGTCATACCCAATTAACAGGTTAAGGGAAGAAAAAGTCAAAATCTAACGAATTATTAATTAGGAAAGCGAGATTAAAAACATGAAAATTTGTTTGATAGCCCGAGGAAATGGTGACAAGGTGGAAGAATTATGTTGAGATGGCAATTAGAAACATTTTCAAATTTCATGTAACAATCAAACTATTTCAATTTTTTCCTTAAAGTTGTCTATCAAAAATTGAAAACATTTCGGCTTTTTTTTTTCTTTTTAATTTTATCAACATCGGCAGGTAAAAAAAAGTGTAAGAATTGTTATAGCATTGGATATGGAAAAGTGATAGTATGATTTTAAGACTAATTTTAATTTCAATATTTTTAATGGGACTTTGACTAGACTTTACTCTCTCCTTTATCCCTTTCACGACGAGTTTTTTTTTTTACAACAGAACAATTTTGGTAGCATAAATGATAGCTATGAGTAGGGCACACTAGAATGCTAAAACTAAGATGTTATATTTTTTGGAAGATTTTAAACACTGATTTAGGACCGGGACATACATGTCCCATCAGTCCAGACAACTGGGACATGTGTCCCAGTAATCATCAATGAGTAATTTTGTAAAGAAAACCAAGGATCACATAGGACTGTTGGGATCATGTGTTCCCACTACCCAAGACGAGAGGGACACATATGTCCCGATAATGAAAACGGAAGTAAAACTTTGCCACTTATCAGTTTATTAGAGATAATCAGCTTCATGAGTAATTTCTCTGGCCTTAGATTTATCGATGAATCAAATCTTAATCGAAAATAGGCGGTATTTTCCGGAACTAAACTATTACGTCAGTACAGTATGGAATGAGCTGCTATAACACTTCAAAAACGCAGGAATTGCATTATGTACGGTAGTGCCATCTATGTTCTGTGAATGAAAATACCTTCAAAAATATTGATAGAACTGTTGGGAAAGTCTCCCATCAGAAAGAGAAGAGTTTCTGTCCCAAAAAATATTTTTGAAATTTGCTTGGGACGTATGTGTCCCGTTAATTGCGAAAGGGTTAAATAACCTATTTTATAATTTGTCATGTTTTTATCTTCAACGTTTTTCATAATGTTGAGACATTTTATTTTTGAAAAAATAATCTTGAATTTTCCGTATTTTATAATATAAAAACACTTTTTTCCTAATTGCTGTTTATTTTCTAATGCGATATTTTTTTGACTTGCAGATATGCATTTCTTGTGTAAATACTTTTAGTTTAATAAAAATTCATTCTTTCATAATACTGTGTTTTCTCAAAAATTTTTTTTTAAAATACTTTAAATGAATTTACCTCAAAGAAGACACCAATGACAGCTAAGCCTTGGGGTGAAGTGGTAGCTTCTTCAGGGCTGTTGTAGAGGTCAACATTCCAGTGGACAAGATGCAGCTATAAACAAAGCAATATGTTATAAAGAAAGAGTCTTTTTCTTTGTTGTGCAATTAATAATTAGGAGAAGTATGTATTGTATAGAGTAAACATTCTAATATTATGTTCTGTAAAGATTTTTATTTTTTGTGTTGTTTTCTGCATTAAATATAATATTATACTGTCAAATTGTCATCTAATTAATAAAAATCCCCCAATTTTTTTTTATTATGAATTATTGCTAAATACGAAAAGCGTTAATCTAACTGAATTTGATTAAATGGCTACCTATTCATCAATGTACACGTAAATAAACAAGTAACATTCAATAAAAGTGTTCAGTTATTAACACATTAAAAGTAAGTTTCAACTTCAGTAATTTCTGCTTTAATTTATCTTTATAATAAAATAATGATTCGTTATCGATATTATGTGAATAAATAACTAGGAGTAAGAGTTCTTAGCAAAATTTGTAATTTTGCTCCATCATTCTTTTTTAAAACAATTACTATTTAAAACACGAATTCTAACATTTAAAATAAGCAATCGATATTTTCTTGACTTTTGCGTGTTGATTGATTTTACGAAAATAATAATTAAAAATAGATTTAACAAAAATTTGTATCGTGATGAATATGCAATAAATAAATAAAAGTTTTGTTAATCAATACATGCTAATTAGCAGAGCTAATTAGCATGTATTGATTTGATGAAATGATTTGATGGAGGTATTGATTTGATGGAATTTGTGATCCCGACAGATCTAACTTGACCAGTCACCATTTTAAGCATGGGTATTCTTCGGCCGGCGGACTTCGAACTCACGAACACTAGCTCACTGTCCTACCAACCAGGCTATCTCTGAACCGAGCTCAATTTTTGAAGGAGCTGATACGAAGAGGGAAGACCCTAAATATGTTTTTTGTTCTCTTTATTTAATTATCACAAATAAACTGAGGACAGATACTTATTCGTTAATGCCTTGCGATGCATGTAAAATACAAGGCCGTCACTCAATCAGAATTTGAGCTATAAAGCTTGAGGTATTTTAGTTTTAGATTTATTTACTATTTATTTTTCTGTCAAAATTATATCCATATAATTGTGCAATTAGCAATTTTTGAAGGCTGGTGAAATAGTTACAGTCGTCTGTTTTTAGATTTTTGATAGATACCTTCGTTTTTGCTCAATTAACGCTTAAAGAATTAATTAGTATAATCTAAAATCAGTTTTCATTAGTTAAAACTGTAATTAAATTAAATTTTAAAACGAAACAACTGAAAACTAACAAATGTATAGTTTCAACTGATTACTGATTTAAAACCACAAATCTCCTTTTTTATTGATTTATAATTTTGAGGAACAAAAAAATCCATCAAATTTATCAAGCTTTATTTCTCCTAATCTAATTTTTTTAAATTGTAATAATAATAATAATAATCTTGGGCTATCATTGCAGGCAAAATTATCATTATCATTTGATGGCCTACTTCCAATTGCCTCAGAATATGTCTACGTAAACCTATGGAAATAATACCAGAATAAATTTGTGATATAAAACTACGCTTAAAGTTCTTGGAATAGTTTAACATTATTTGTGAAATTACTTTATATAGTGACCATTGTAATACAGTCAACCCCCGTTATAGTGAACGTTCAAGGGACCGAAATTCCGGTTCACTATAACCGGGATTTCACTATATCCGTATTGCAAACAATTTCAACTAATTTTTCCGAACTGCTCCCTTTTATTACACATTATTAAAATAAATGACCAATAAAAAGAAATACAAAAATTGATTAAATATGTAGTAACGAAAAATGTGTTAACTTTTATTTTTTATTACTCTTCGTCTTGCGTACAAAAAAAATTTAGTGGGGGCCTTTATTTAGGGATGGGAAACTGAAATAGAAAAAGGAAACTGAAATAGAACTGAATAGAATTTTGTTGAAATACAAACAAAAAAAAAATGCTTATGGCTACATTCCACTCAATGGATGGTTTTAAAAATCGGTATATGCATTTTATGTAGAAATTTCAAAATTACTAAAAAATAAAGAAAATCAGTCGAAAACAGAAAAAATTTCATAATGACCAGTTTCCTCTCTACTTTTGGTTCACTATATCCACAAAAAATAATATTATATGTGTATAGCAAGGCACGGGAGTGAGCATTTTGTTCACTATATCCGGGAGTTCACTGTAAACCATGTTCACTACAACGAGGTTTGACTGTACTACAGTTACAGTCTATTTATCACCATTTCATTTAAAATTCTATTGCTTTAAAACAATAATAATAGTAGTAATAAATAAAAAAATCTAAATTTTATTTTTATTTTCAAGAACAAAGATATTAACGCCTTAAGAATTTAAAAATTACGATTATGATATTAACGCCTTATGATATTAACGATTGACGATTATGATATTAACGCCTTAAGAATTTAAAAATTACCTCACAAGCATATGCTCTGCCGTCCACTGTGTGCTCACTACCAGAATTCGGACACCGTCCCCAATGGCTGTGGAATTGCAACAATTGATAGGAATTGGCCAATGGACCACCAGTTAAACCTTTAAGATCGTAAGGATTCAAACATATAAAAAAGGAATAATAAGCAATAAAAACATATGAGAAAGGCACAAGGTTTTATTTTTTACGGTAGGTAAAGGCATTTTACCATGAAAACAGACCTGCTTGACCAACTTCGTGATTGCGGTAGGGAAATTGTAATTGATCAAAAAAAATCATACGATTAGATCCTCAAAAAACGAAGATGGTTCAGATATCTTAAGTTGTTACTTGCGTAAAATAATAAAAGCTATTTACTAGTTAAAAATTTATTTATGCCCGCTCTAATGCATAGTTTCTTTCTTCTTTTACTTATTTTCCTTTTCTGCTTTCACATTTATGACTCTGAATAATATTCGAAATTAATTGTTTAAAGCAAAGCTTTACTTTTCATTTATGTACAAATTATTTGCGTCAGATTAATTTATAAATATCGCATGAAATTTAGTACGAAATAAAATTATGCTAAATTCAAAATAAAATAAAATTAGTCTAAAACTTAGCATAAAATATTGCGTGAAAAAGAGACATTTTATGCTTAACACTTTTAGTGTCTGCGTAAAATTATTAAAATGCCAAATAGTTGCGTAAGGAGTGCCATTACTCATTACGCAACTATATATTTGTTACGCAACTATATATTTGTTACGCAAATATATAGCTGCGCATAGCTATTATATTACGCAACTGTATATTTGTTATACTTTTTATTGCGTAAAAATGTTTCCAGTCAACTTACACAATTTCTAAAATTGCTTCAGAATAAGTACTTGAAACTAAGCAAATTTAGGGAATTTTTGTTCGCAATGTTATTTAAATAAATCTCTTTCCTGTTAAACATGACAGTAATTCTTATATAATTAGTTTATCAGACATTTCAAAATATTAAAATAAAAAGGTTTTTAAAACGAATTAATGACAAACTCAATACATTTAACGTCAAAATCGCTGATTTCCCTTGTCTTCTGGATTGGGTTGTTAAAAATTACGAAGCCACGTAGTCGAATATTGGTAGTCGTACACTCAAAATTGGTCGGCTGTTATAATATAAATTTAAAGAAATTAGAATAAAGTCTGAAAAGCAACTTTTGTGTTATGAGCCCCTAAATTCGGATGCAAAAGCCTGAGAGTTCGTTGGCTTGCAAAATTATGAATTTCAGCTTAATGGCTAGCAAATGGCTAGCAAAGCAGCAGCAGCGAAATGAAGGTGCCGTGTGTCCCTTATTTTACTGATATTTGGATAGTATTATAATTAAATCTATGCTACTATATTTTAAGAATAAATAAAAATTAATTAATAGATACAAATCTTATTCTATAGAGAATATAATTATTTTTTTTAAAATCAAATTACTCAGAAGCATAAGCCTTTTTCAACTTACATGACCCCTGACCTTCTACAGTAACTTTCCAGCCGCCTCCAGTATTCAATAAAGATTTGCAATTGTTTGGCACATAATTCCAATAAAGAGGGCGCTGCATAAGCTGTGAGTCTTGACAGACCAGAGTTGTCTTGATATCCACAGGAGATTGCATCGTTCCAGCTGCACAGGGAAAGGATTTGGTCCAACAGTTCGAGCCTAGTTCGAATTTAAAATATCCATCAAATTTTCTCATGATTAACCAAAGTTATTAAATCGGAACTCTGAAAATTTCTTCGAAAACAAACAAAAAACACAGTAAACTTTTGTTTATTTAATTGTATAGATTTTCTGTATTGTCTGAATGAATTTCAACACGTTGAATGTCATGCGGGTCACCGTTGACCGGCACCAAGTTTGTTCATGGCGCTACGGGGTCACCGGTGACCGGCGAAGCCAAGATTATTAGAAACACATATTTCGAGTAAATTTAAAATTTTTTTTAATATTACTATCGTTACTAAAATGGTTTGAAGAAATGAATGTAATATAGAACACACAAAAATGGTTGAAAGCGAAATGCTTAATTAGTGTAAACAAAGAGAGATGAATAAAACAAAATACAATAAAAGCAATCACAGGAATCCTGTTAAGCAAAGAGTGACTAATAATACACTGTTTTGCTGTATTTGAAGTGTAATTTTATTTTGCTTGAATAATTAATTTGTTAATGCAATAAGAAACAATGAAGGCATTGGTAAATCACAATTTTCTATGATTTCGTTGCCTTTTTAAAACTTGTTAAAATCTGATAAAATATAATCTATGCATGTATATTTCTCCTTTGTGGCCCCAAATTCTCTATTATATGTATATTTGTCTATTGACAATATTGCAGTAATAATTTTTTTTTACAAAAATGTCTTAAATAATAACTTAAGTAGTGTTGAATAATTAGTTACACGTTGAGCATTTAATTAGAATAATTTTGTATTTTTATAGCAATAATAATTCAGTAACGAAGTAATTATTCATGTTTAATTTTGATCCTTTTTGAAATGTCTGTAGAAATGTAAACAGTGCTGCGGTGCCGCAGACAGCCATACTAATTATTGCTAATTTTACTAGCCATACTAATTATTGCCAAATTTACTAGCCATACTAATTATTGCCAAATTTACTAGCCATACTAATGGAGCTTGCCTTTTTTTTTTAGCAATATCATAAATATATTATACGATACTCACGTTATAGATCGAGTGAGGAGGTAGTAGTACAGTGCATTTAGAAGAAATTTGGGTCCGTTAACGGATTCTTCACAAAATATCTTTTCATAAAAACGGACCCTTCACAAATTTGTTTTACACAACTGTTTCACAAATTTGTTCAAATCTTCACATTACTGTTTTGTTAATCGAATAAACCCTTTCCAGGAATAGGNGGGGGGGAGAAAGTCGGTTCAAAACGACCTAAGTTTCCCTCAGTTTAAATTCCAAATGTAGTATTCTAAGAAAATATATCCATATTAACAAACACCGTGTTGATCAATTTATATTTATTCAAAAATTAATTAATTGAATATTATGTAAATAAAAATTAATTTCCGGTAATTTTTTAAATAAAATATTATAAATTTAAGAATTGTTTAAACTTACTTAATGCGTAACACATTAAAAGTGATACATAACTAAGTTGTGTTATTTAAAATTTGTCAATTGAAATTATTAAAAATGTGATTGATTTTGTTTCCATTATTCGTCTGAAATGAATATTTTGTGTAGAGCAGTGTCGGCTAAATACCAAATATTTGTATGTTGCATCTCTAATTTAGTAGTAGCAATTGTTGAGCAGAATCATGCATCTATTTACACTTTAAAAACCTTTTGAAAAGCACTTCGGCAATTTTTGCAATAACAGGACCCTATTTGCACAAATTCACAAAAGCAGGACCCTAGTTAAAAGAATATGACCTAACGCTTATTTTACATTCACAAATTATGAGTAGTTTTTTCACAATTTTACAAAAACAGGACCTTTCACAATATGTGTGGACAGACCCCTGATTAGGATAAGTTTTCTATCTAATCTCTCACGGCAGAGATGGAAATAATTTTAATACTTCTGCTGGTCTACTATGCTGAAATATACCGAACTCATACTTACGGTAGTTCGCGCGATGTAATATGGCTGTCGGAAAGATTTTGAATTACAATAGTTAAAATTGAAATCAAAGTTCTTCCAAGCTGAAAAAGTCACGGGCAACAGCTAGACAGTGAAAAATTTGGTTAATATATTGATTAAAAATAATTAAGGTGCTAGAATAGAAGGAGGGGTTGGAGAATTAAAATACTTAAACACAGTTGGGCTACGCATTCAGCTTGGTTACTTTTAAAGTTTATAGGTCATCTAAGATAATTCTGAAAGGTGGCCAAGCTGGTCGCCAAAGGTGGTTAGTACATATTTTCAGATTTTGAGGCGGAAACGAGCTTCTAGCAGTATCAGGTGTCTGTCCAGACATTTTGTGAAAGGTCCTGTTTTTGTGAAATTGTGAAAAAATTACTCGTAATTTGCGAATATAAAATAAACGCTAAGTCACGTTCTTTCAACCAGGGTCCTTTTATGAATTTGCGCAAATAGGGTCCGGTTATTGCAAAAAACTCCTTCAAGGAGTTTTTAAATTGTAAATAGATACAAGATTATACTCAGCACTGTAAAATTATAGTAGAAAAGAATTATATTTTCAAAAATAAACAGCAATTACTGCTTCTAAATTAGAGATGCAACATACAAATATTTGGTATTCAGCCTATACGGCTATATGCAGAATATTCCTTTCGGATGAATAATGGAAGAGTCTGCCGAAGACAAAACTTAATTCGTTTACATCTTTCTTGTTTTCCTCCCTGGGAAGGGTTTATTCGATTAACAAAATAATAATGAAGATAAATAAATTTGCGAAGGGTCTGTTTTTAAGTTAAAATATTTTTCGTTTTTATGAAAAGATATTTTGTGAAGGGTCCGTTAACGGTCCCAAATTTCTTCTAAACAGAACCCTGAGTATTGAAAAAGAAAACTGGCCAAAATAGGTTGGTGGACTACTGCTTTAATTCTTTGAATAAATCTCTGCCAATTGTAACGAACTATTAATAATATATATCGAGCAATATTTAAGTTTATGTATAAAATTCACCGCCAATTTTCATCGNTTTTGTGAAAGGTCCTGTTTTTGTGAAATTGTGAAAAAATTACTCGTAATTTGCGAATATAAAATAAACGCTAAGTCACGTTCTTTCAACCAGGGTCCTTCTGTTATGAATTTGCGCAAATAGGGTCCGGTTATTGCAAAAAACTCCATCAAGGAGTTTTTAAATTGTAAATAGATACAAGATTATACTCAGCACTGTAAAATTATAGTAGAAAAGAATTATATTTCCAAAAATAAACAGAAATTACTGCTTCTAAATTAGAGATGCAACATACAAATATTTGGTATTTAGCCTATACGGCTATATGCAGAATATTCCTTTCAGACGAATAATGGAAGAGTCTGCCGAAGACAAAACTTAATTCGCTTACATCTTTCTTGTTTTCCTCCCTGGGAAGGGTTTATTCGATTAACAAAATAATAATGAAGATAAATAAATTTGCGAAGGGTCTGTTTTTAAGTTAAAATATTTTTCGTTTTTATGAAAAGATATTCTGTGAAGGGTCCGTTAACGGTCCCAAATTTTTTCTAAACAGAACCCTGAGTATTGAAAAAGAAAACTGGCCAAAATAGGTTGGTGGACTACTGCTTTAATTCTTTGAATAAATCTCTGCCAATTATAACGAACTATTAATAATATATATCGAGCAATATTTAAGTTTATGTATAAAATTCACCGCCAATTTTCATCGCAATAAAAATTTAAAAAAAAGTTCTAAGAATAGTTTTGACACAATATTCGGTACAATTTAAGTATTTTGCCAAATTCCGTCCTTGACTATCAATTGCAAATATAATTTTTATTTAAAACAATTATGATTAAGAAATTTACATTTAGTAATACGCGTAAAGAATTTACTCATTCTTTCTTCGAAGATTACAGGTAAATAAATTTCGTCAAGTACTCACCTCTCAAGTTGAATGGAAGAGAAAGACAGTTCTCTTATTTAAGGAAGTGGGTTTTATATTTTTGGATAGACTACCCGTAGGGAAGGTAGTTCTCGCAATTCTCAAACGATGACCATTATGCGGCTTTCCAACTGAGTCGATCATCAACTGTCCCCATTAAAAAAGACTACCCGAAGCTTTTGTTCCAAAGCCATTTCTCTTCCCCCCCTCACTGTTCTTAGTGTCTTATTATACCATTTTACTTCATAATTACTTTCATAAGTAACTGAATATGACATCATCAATATTATAACTGAAAAAAAATTTAATAGGAATTTATTTTCCGTGTTTGTCTTCCGATTGAGGCGATAATTTTTTAAAAAAAATAATTATTTACTATTTGGATTATTATATTTAATATGCACAAAAAACGATTTAAAATAAAATGCATAATTGTTTACGTTAATTAAGTTACTTGTATCAAAATTTAAAGGAAATCTGACGTATAATTTGCTTTGCATGGTTATTTCTTTTTTTATTAAAGTTATCTTTATTATTAAAACAAATTTTAGCTGTTTAGAACAATTCAGCCATTTTCTGATCACGTTGTAGACTTCTTTATAAAAACTTCTAAGACTAACTCGCATGCTGTAATAATAGGTGAATAAATGTAATAAAAAGAAATCTATGAAAAGGATAAAGAGCACGTATGTGTGTTCAGTCCGCAGGAAAAAAAAAATCCAAAAGTAACTTGATTTAATGATCGGATTTTCATTTACTATGATTCAATTTCAATAGTTCAAAGGCCTAACTATTAATTTTGCTAAATAATGAGTACAAATGATAGTTTAAATTACGAAAGCAGACATTAAAAACTTTCTCTGAATAAGCATACCCTATTTTTGAAGAAATTAGATTCTAGTTCTTGAATGGCACACATTATGAAAAATATAGTCCTTAGGCGGGAGAGCGATTGAAAGTTTGGATTCCTTAATGTTAATTTTACTCTTGACTTATTTCATCATCGCAAAGAAGTAATATTTTAAGTTTTTCGTTTCCTAAGAACTATTTGATAGATTTTTTTTTAAAATTAAGGATTCAATCATTAAAAATTACTTAGCATTGA